AACGTTGAAGTATTAATTAAGAAATATATTCAAATTTGATAAACTAGGTAATCTTTTTAAAATTTAAATATAAAAAGTTTATATCAAACCAAACAATATAAAATTTACCGTATGTAAAGCTAAAAATATGTTTCAAATTTGGTTTCATAATATAAGTTCAATAAAACTTATAGTAGTTTGATATAAACTTTTGACATTTAATTTTTAAAAAACTATTTAGTTTTATCAAATTTTGAATATATATTTATATTTTATATGTTTATAATCTTAAGGGTTTTTTTGTAAAATATTTGTAAACTTAAGGGTTTTTTCGCAAAAAATAATTCAAGGTGACCTGGAAACCTGCTATTACAGGTAAAAATGGCAAAATCGACAAAAAAAAAATGACAAGTTTGCAGTATAAACGAACCAAAAATCTGCCGAATGGTAAAACCAACATTTTCTGCCAAACTATGCAACGTTAAGATATCTTGCGGGACAAAATCTAGGATATCCCCAATTGCTATATAGTTTCAAATATATATATTTTTTTTACCCTGGTTTTGATTTAGGATATTGATTTCAATTAGGCAGGTGCTGATTTTTTCCCAAACAAAATTTGGGGAAAACCCATTTGTTCTTGATTGGTGAACAAACATAGTTTACTTTGATTTTAGTCCTCTTCAAGATTTGCTTGTGGTTTCTATATATGTATGTTTGATTTGTTTTTCTTTGAATAGTTGGATCGTCATGAAAATAAGATGTTAGTGGGAGGCGTTGGATAGTGGTGTTTGTGTGTTGTCACCGGAGAAGAAGATAACGGGGATAAGAATGTCGTCGAAATCAAGAAATGATATGGAAGTCATGTGCTACAATTGAAAATTGGGAATATGACTTATCAAGGTAATTAACTTTTCGATATGTTCACATATGAGTAACTATCTTTTTTTGTACACATCTAGGTAACAAACTTGTTGGAAGTGTTCACATATGACCATTATGACCTGCTATAGCAGGTTAAATCCTAGATGTGAACGCTTTCAACAAGTTCGTTACCTAGATGTGTACAAAAAAATAGTTACCCAAATATGAACAAAACGAAAAGTAAAAATTAAATTACACGAATGGTCCCTATGGTTTGGGGGAATTTGTGTTTTTGGTCTCTAACTTTTTTTTTTTAACTTGGATGGTCCCTACTGTTTATTTTTGTTGCGCGTTTGGTCCATGTTTTACCTAAAAAGACTATTGTGCCCTTATTAATTTATTTTTTAATTAATTTTCTTATTGATGTATTTATTTTTACATATTTAAAAAAATTATTTTTCCTCGGATGATCCCTACTGTTTATTTTTTAATTAATTTATTTTTTAATTCGGATGGTCCCTACTGTTTAATTTTGTTACGAGCTTGGTCTCTGTCTTACCAAAAAAGACTATTATGCCCTTTTTAATTTATTTTTTTAATTAATTTTCTTGTTTATGTACTTATGTTTTATATATTTAAGAAAATTTAGTAGACCCCACATATCTGTATCTCCTCACCATCCAATCTCCCATCCTTCTCAACTTCTATTTATTTTCCATCTTTAGTGATATCGACGTCTTCATCATCCCTTCTTTTTTCGGTCCTCCAACTCCGTCGAATCAACACCACAACCCACTAAAGATGAAGAAACATTAGGTTATGATGTTGGTTCGCCAGAGTTGAAGTACCAAAAAAAGAAGGATGGTGAAGACGTTGATGTTACTAAAGATGGAAAAGAAATAGAAGTTGTGGAGGATGAGAGATGGGATGATGACCGGTAAGACCCAAATTAAATTTCTCAAATGTAGTTTCAGGTTTACGGTGAGGAGATACAAATATGTGAAATATATTAATTTTTTAAATATATAAAAAAGAAATACATAAATAAGAAAATTAATTAAAAAATAAATTAATAAAGGCAAAATAGTATTTTTAGGTAAGACAGGGACCAAACGCATAACAAAAATAAACAGTAGGGACCATCCAAGTTAAAAAAATAAATTAAATAAAAAATAAACAGTAAGGATCATTCGAGGAGAGATACAAATATATGGGGTCTATTAACTTTTTTAAATATGTAAAAAATAAATACATAAATAAAAAAATTAATTAAAAAATAAATTAATAAGGGCACAATAGTCTTTTTAGGAAAGACATGGACCAAACGCGTAACAAAAATAAACAGTAGGGACCATCCAAGTTAAAAAAATAAGTTAGGGACCAAAAACACAAATTCCCCCAAACCACAGGGACCATTCGTGTAATTTAATTTTTACTTTTGGTTTTGTTCATATTTGGGTAACTATTTTTTTTTACACATCTAGGTAACGAACTTGTTGAAAGCGTTCAAATTTAGGATTTAACATGTTATAGCAGGTCATAATGATCATATGTAAACACTTTCAACAAATTTGTTACCTAGATGTATACAAAAAAAATACTTACCTAGATGTAAATATAGCGAAAAGTTTTATTCATAGAAACTAACAATCAATCTAATTATATATACTGAAAAATTATTTTATAAAAAAAAACGTTTAGAAAAAAAAAAAACGCGTTTCGTGATACACACCAATTCAAATCAAAATTGTCGCCGTGATACACACAAATTCAAATCAAATATGTAGCTTCTTTCCATAAATTAATTGATAACAGTTTGCTCATATAATTACAAAGATGGAAATCCACATTATTCAATGCTAAACAAATTAGAAATATAATATTCCATGAGTTAATACTTTCAATTATTCATTAAAAATAAATACAAAAGAACATGTTTTAGTTTAAAATAAAAATAAAATCTTGAAGAATAAAGTTCATATTATTTTATTTGTAGTAAATAGTTAAACATGTATTTTTAAATCAAATATTTTGCAAGGAAAAACTATTATAGCGTTTTAGGTATGATTACCCACTCAATTCTTTAATATTTTTAAATAATACCATGTGAATCCAAAGCTACGACTTTCCGACTTTCCTTTTTCGTTGTGTCAACTCCACATGCCACGTATCCTTAGTTCCTTACCATACCCTATAAATATAAATCCCATCACAGCCTATTCTCAAAACACCAATAACCTTCAAAATCATTCAAGATTTCAGATAATCATCTGAGATTTCTATCTACAAATATTTGAAGGACAAAACATGGCAGGTTTAAGGTTCAATTTGGCGGTGATGATGGCGCTCATGCTAGCATCTGTGCAGCTTCACAACACGGCGGCTCAGACAACCCATGTGGTCGGCGACGCCTTGGGCTGGAATATTCCTCCCAACGGACCTTCTGCTTACACCACCTGGGCATCAGGTCAGACCTTCAGTGTCGGCGATGTTCTTCTCTTTAACTTCACCACCGGATTCCATAACGTCGCTGAAGTGTCTCAGGCAGCCTATGGCCCATGCACCACCACCAACCCCATCTCCATCGCCACCAACGGCCCCGCTAGAGTCACCTTGAATGCACCTGGCACACACTATTACGTCTGCACCGTTGGCACTCATTGCCAAATTGGTCAGAAGTTAACCATCAACGTCTCCGCCGGGTCGGCCATCCCTGCTCCAGCCCCGACACCCGCCACTCCCGCGCCGGTTTCTTCACCAACCACCACCCCGACCCCTGCCCCCACCACAACAACTCCTCCGCCAACATCCTCACCTGCACCTTCTGCCGGGGAAGCCAGCCCATTATCACCACCCACCTCCGGTCAATCTCCCTCAGGGAGTAATGCACCTTCTCCCACCGATAGCACCACTCTACCACCACAATCACCCAGTTTTGCTCCATCTTTCACCGCCGTGGTGCCCTTCAGTTTCTTGGCGATCGCTTTAGCTTTCTTTTATTAAATCTAGTGGTTAACTTGAGACGTGTGTACGTAAATTATTTTTGTTTGAATTTTTCTTTTTTATTTTGTTTATGCACTTATTTAATACAGATTGATATTGCTTTATGTTAAACATATTATTTCATCATTCTTATTTTTTTTTTTTTGAAAGGGAACGTTCCCGTGTTTGACTACATAACTACATAACAGGAACAATATTACTCTGTCATAATTGGCTAAATGAAAATTATGGCAAATTTTATAACGGGAGAGGTTGATTTCTTATGAAGTTTACAAATATGGTATATGTTATTCAATTTAGTATGAGGACCTTATCTTTATCTTTACTATATTATTAAGGATATTGTCTATTTCTTGAAAATTAAGAGGTACAATACCTATTATCTCATGTACAATAATATTAAGCTTATAATAATATAGCTATACACGGTATTAGGTATTAGATGGTACCCTAATCTTCTCTCTACACACAACAGCCGCCATCACAAAATCGAAACCCTATTCTTTCTGTCTCCTTCCTACACATAACACTACTCGCCAAATCAAAGTCACCTGAGACGGACCATAAAACTTCAATCAAGATTCTTGGTTCTTGCAATGGATTAGTATGTTTAATCGATGGCACACGTGACATAATCATCTACAACCCATCAACCAGAAGACATTTCAAGCCATTTCAGTCACCTCAACAAGTTCTTCATTGCTCAAACTGGATCGAATTCGTGTATGGATTTGGGTGTGCATCAAAAAACCCTAATCGACCGAGCATATGGTGGCGAGCGTCCACCACTACCTCCTTTGCGCAAATACCTGATCCACGTCACCTGCCAAGCTTCCGCCTATGTCGTCGGCTGCGACTCCCTCAGAATCTCCGCTCCAATCTGTAACTCCGTAGGAATCTCCGTCGGCAGCGACTACGAACCATTCAGGTATGCAAAATTGATCACATTAATAGGTATTACAAATAGGCAAATGTTTGTAGAAAACTGTTATACCCAAATCAAATTTTCATGTATTAAATCTATTGGTTCGGATGATGGTCAGATCTGAGTTTTAGAAGGTATTAAAACCTGCAAACTTAAAATTGGTTCAAATTGCTTCTGCAGGCTTCTTCTGGCAAAAAGAAGATTATAGGTGTTTTCTACAAGGCACATGAGTATGCTGAGATGAACCCCAATTTCTTGGGTTGTGCAGAAAATGCATTAGACATTCACAACTGGTTGGAATCACAAGGCCATGAGTACATAGTCACTGATGACAAAGAAGGACCAGATTGTGGTAAGCTCTTAATTTGACTCCATTTTTAAATTCCTCACATTACATTTATTTTAAGTCTATATGTAATTATGTATACACACTCGGTTTTTGTTATTATTTCTCATTACAGAACTTGAAAAACACATCCCCGATTTACACGTCCTCATTACCACCCCATTCCATCCAGCCTATGTGACTGCTGAAAGGATAAAAAAGGCAAAGAATTTACAACTCTTGCTTAAGGTATATCGACAACCCTTTTAAATGTATGGGGAACTTCGAAGTGATTTTCCGTACATACAAAGTAAATTACAGATTGTCCTTGTATGGTGTATACTTAAACCACAATATATGATAAACATGAATTAGTTTACTATTAGGACCTAAATTTCTAATTAAAATGACATGAAGATATGTTAATTTTCAATACTACAATAGACAAAATTATGTTGTTGGAAACTGTGTGTGCATTTGTGTGTATGTATGTATTTGTATGTGTGTGTTTGTATCTGTCTGTGTATTTTTATGTGTAGGTATATCTGTATATGTATGTTTTTGTGTATTGGTGTATTTTTGTGTGTATTAAAAAAACTGTTGCAATGTGACTGCTTTATTTGGTAAGGGAAGGGCGTTTTAGACATTTGATAAAACAATACTTGAAAACATATTTTTATAAGTAAAAATATTGTTGTCTACAGGTTCTCAAGGGGATGTGTGTAATGGACAACCAGATATTCAAGAAACACTTGAGAAGCTTCTACCCGTTAATTACCAAGCTTGTATCAACTGCCACTATCTTCTCCTTTTTCTCATCAAGGTAACAACTTCCCTCACATTGTTTAGCAATATCTCTTTAACTCTCTGAATCGTATATGTTTGTGACTACATACATTTAATGGATTTCTTATATTCTCTCCAATTTGCCACTTTTCTCTGTTTTTAGGAATGGGAAGGAAAAGAAAGATGTAGAAATTTGGGTTTTTGACCTTGGTTACATTTATTCTCTCCATTTTAATCTAATTTTTATTATTATTGTTTAGTCCACTAAAACATATTTCTTTCTGAAGAAATGGAAACTAATTGCAAAAGTTGTTGTCTTTGTGTCTCTGTTTTGCAGCTCAATGTATTGTCATTGTTGTTGTTGCTTTGTATTTAGTTTCAAACAAAAAAGGTAATATGCTTTCCTTTTCCCCCTATTTTATCTTATGAGAACTCCTTAGGCTATGTTTAGTACAGAGAAATAACATGATAGAAATTGAATTCTTTCAACTTCTCTTGTTTGTTTGCAGGAAGAATAATGATAGGAGAAATAATGGGTTGGATTCATGTTTGTTTATACAAGGTTTTAAAGGTTCTTAAGAACGGTTTTGACTTGTACTATCTCGGTGTCCGGTAAATACTTTTCTAAAAATTAAAAGTTGAAAAATGTTGTTTTGAACCCTCCCTAAACGGTCTTGAATGCCCAGAAAATATCTTAGGTCAAAGACATAATCAGGAGTTTTGCTTATTGGCCAATTTGTAATAAACAAATAAAGTTCTTTAAATTATGACACCGAAAAAAAGTTTGGTAAAATACAAAAAACTAGCAAAAAGATAGGTTTTTTTTAAAGCGGTTTCAAACCGAACCTAACTGTTCATGTAGGTTTGTATATTTTTGCTCGGAAATAAGTTTGAAGTCAATCCGGTTTTGACTCAATCTGGTTATGACTTTTATTTTACCAAAATCAATACGGTTTGGATAATTTATGGCACCTGTGAACAATGGCAAAGGATGTATGCCCACATCCTTCGGTGAATTTATGGCACCTTGTCCGTCATCACCTTGTTCACAGTCTTATAACATGAATTTAACAATCTAACCCTTAAAGCCACCTCATCTCTACCAATACTACTAGAGATTGAAAGACTCGTAGATCAACTAGATGATATAGGTAATGTGGTTAACAAACAAAGGCTCATGGTTTAATTTATTAATATTGGTCTTTACATAATACATGGCACCAACCCTTATTTGAAACAACTTAAAACATGCTTGACATCGAGTATAATCATCAACTTTCTCGTGAAGGTACACCTACTCCTAACATCCATATAGTTGATAACAACCATCCTATTTACAATGATGGATTTTGAACTGATGAGAGTTGTCCACCACTCTTTTGTTGCTTTAATGATCATCAATTTGAGGAATGTTGACACTACCACATGGTTATCGTAACACAATCACCAATTAGGGTGGGCGATCCCAACTACAAATAATACACCACTAAACTACATCCCACAATGCACTAGCCCATAAGGTTACTCATATTCCCATATTTTTTATACTCGACATAAGGGCTCTCTTTTGAAGAGACAATCTTAGGCTCCGCATATGTTTACATTGTATCATAGTTGGCGTCCCGCACCCCTGTGGCTCAACACATGAATGTATATCCTCATTGATCCTACGAGTTTGAGGGAGGGGGGGGGGGTGTTAATGTATCCTACGTCAATGAAACATGATCTTATAAGTGGTTATATATGTTGGAGTCTCCCCTCTCTCCATAAGGGATCTCTCATAGAGACAATATCGGACTCCACATATGTTCTCATGGTAGTAGAGCTCTAAGTTAAAACCATATTGTTGACTACAACCCAAAGTTGCCGCCCTCCACCTCCGACTACATTCTCTAATAATCGTCGATGGTGTCTTCACTATACTCAATATTTTTCCCTTTCTTCTTTCTCATCCTAATAATAATACAGTCGCCAACACCAAACTGTGACTCCTTCCTCAGCTTCTTCTACATAACTGCTTCTGCCTCCTCCTTGGATGACCCCTACCTTTGAGCCTTCTGTCTCCTCCTCGGATGGCCTCTTCTTCTCTAGATACATTTTCCGAGTTAGCCTCTTCCGATGTTGTTGCCGCCTCCCTCCGATGGCACATTCTTTACAGGACAACCTTTGATCTGCAGTCGTCTCTCTCTTTCTCCATCTCTATCATTACTAGTCATTGATCTCGCTGGAATTGGCTCTGTCCGTCGCAACTTGAACCTTCTTTCTTTCTTATTGCCTTTCTCAGGACTCTTGTGTCGTCGGCTCCGTCATAGTCGTTGTCACTGCTCCCCTTTTCTCCCACAACGGAAACGCTTCTAGTCGCCGCTTCTTCTCTCTTCATCTCCGACGAGCAATCATTGTTAGTTCTCATCGTCTTAGCTCTACCACTGTCCTTATCTTTGTTTTTATGTTTATTTGTTTCCAGTTTAAATCATTGCCTTTCGATAAAACTGCGCTCACGTTTGCGGCGGCAGTGCGGGGGGGGGGGGGGTGGTTGTTAGTGATTAGTGTTAGGCCAATATTCATTAGGGTATAGGTTATGCAAAGAACCCATTTGTATTCATATTTATATGAGGTTAAATCCTCATTATAATAAAGTTATCTATTATATCCTTAAAAGTGTCCTCATTTTGAAATAAGATCACTAATCTAGCCCATGAAATAAGATCACTACAAGTCTTACACTTTCCTTATTGATACCAACTCAATGACATTGCTGGTAAAGGAATTTCACGACAATTTAAGCATTGAGATCCCATTGCTAGCTCTGACGGTATACTAGATAGACATATAAGATCACCGTTATATCATAACCATTTTTTTTGTCGTCCTTAAAGAAATCAGTGGTAATCCGTATCGCTTAGCATGACATAGATAAATATATACATCACATACTCAAGAGAGGGCATATGTTTATTCTAAAAC